AGTTTTCTGCTTTTTTTTTTTAAAGGAAAATGAGCCCAATGTCAATGTTTGCATAAAAAGTCTAACATTGTGTCCAGGGAATAGAAAGCTATTGCAACATTAACCTGTAAAGTCTAAACCAACCCAGGCAGCAGGTTTTCTAATTGAGAACATTTTTAAAAGAGGAAAATAGGGACTTTGAGAAATCAAATCATCTTCCTTTTCTGTGAAACCATGTATGAAAGGGACACCCTTTCCCAGGGTTGGCTTGACTAAAACATAAACTTCTTTCTTTAAAGAAAGATTATTTATTTGTTTGTTTATTGTCTTTTCTTAGGCGTGTGTGTGTGTGTGTGTGTGTGTGTGTGTGTGTGTGTGTGTGTGTGTGCGCACCTGTGGGAATATGGAATTCAGAAGATGATATCAGATGTCCCCCTCTCTCACTCTTCACCTAGTCCTTTGAGGCAGAGTCTCTTCTTGAACATGAGGTCCATGTTTTCTCTGCAGTGATATCCCAACAATCCTCCTGTCTCTGCAACCCCTATCTTGAAGCTTGGGCTCAGGCATTGAGAGGGATGCATGACTTGTTATTCTGGTCTTAGGATCCCAAGCCCTGTCCTCATGAGCACACAACAAGTGATCTCAATCACTTAGCCATCTCCCCAGCCCCAAATGTTTTTATTTGAAATGCTCTCATTATTTCATGATTTCACATATTTCTTTGGGGCTATCAAGTCTCCTCTTACACAAAGATGGGACACTGATGTGCACAGCAGCTAGATCCCTAGATCCACTGGTCACAGTAATACTGGCCAGTCCTCAATAACAATCATATCAATCTCTACCCAATCTCAGCAAGACCTACTTGTGGTTGCATTGCAGCTGGATAATTCTCAATCGACTTACTTTCTGAAAAATAGAGCTTCAGAGACTAAGGATGAGTGAAAACCACGGCAGTGACCTGGACTGATGTCTCTGCATTTACTGAGACATAGTTTACAGAACCAGGCATGAAAGCAGATTGCATCACTTCTGCCTGCATGTCATTGGCCTTGACTACTCATGTGACTCTGATGTGTCTCTAGACTAAGGAATTAAGAGGAGCATGAATGCCTGTTGAGGAGTATGTTTCCATCAGTCTGTCCTTCCCACATATCCCATAGACAGAACAGAGCTATAGTAGTTATGATTTTTCTCATTGCTGAGAAGAAGCACCTGATAAAAACAACTGAAGAAGGACAAGTTAATTTTGGATCACGGTGTGAGGGTTCAGTCCATCAGGGTGGAAGATGTGTGGCAATTGATCACACTGTATCTGCAGTCAGCAAGTAGAGAGAGATGGACACTGGTGCTCAGTTCATGTTCTTCCTTTTATTCAGTCCAGAACCCCAACCCTTGGAGTGGTATTACCTTCACTTAGGGAGGGTCTTTCCAACTCAGTTAACCTAATCTAGCAATTCCTTCACAAACACACACACACACACACACACACACACACACACACACACAGAGAGAGAGAAGTTTGTCTCCTGGGTGTTTCTAGACCCTGTTGAGATCACAATGAATATCAACTATCACCACAATTAACCCCTAGGAAGGATGGCTCAGTTCCTATGGTGACACAGCATCCATCATCTAAAGTGTGTGGGGTCCCTTGGTATGGCATAGCCTTTCTGTCAGATGAGGATTTGGATCCACCTTGTCCAGTGCCCTGTGTGCTGAAACAAGTCATTTCTACACAATGTGTCAGGTTTTAGAAGGTAAGCATAGTGCATAGTGCATTCAGCTCCGTGATTGACAGGGCTCCGCAGCAACCGCACAGCCCTTCGAGTCTTGGCTCTTTCCTCTATGAACACTCTTCTGCCTTTGAATCTTGGCTTCTGGTTGCCCTGGTGAGATCCTTCATTTTCTTTCCTTCACCTTGGCAACTGTTGAATGGGGCATTGAAGATAGACCTCAAAATTTGTACTCAAGCCCCCAAAGAATCAGCTCATACTATCCTTGTCAAGCCCCAGTACTTCTGTTGTTTTTAAAGAAATTCTAAATTCATATATCTTCATTCAAGCAAGGGTCAACTTCTCTGCCCAACACTCCCTGTTGGAATCCTTGTTGCTGGCATTTTCATCTTTGTGGTTTTTTTTTTAATAAGTGTCTAATGTTAGTGTGAGAGCTATTCATAGTCTACATATTTTGATTTGTGGGGGGACCAGGGATATGAGGCACAGTCTAATCTTTGAGTCCCATTGTCCTAAGGTCACCATGTTAGGAGGGAAACTTCAATTATGGTGTGTTTGCAGGGACCAGGTCTGAAAGTGGCTTACACCATTTGGTCCCTTACTCCAGTGGCTATCATTCCTTCACAAGGCCCTCAGATAAATGCTACTTATCTTGGGGGTGCTCTGCAGACTTGGGGACTGTGCTCATTTTGAATTGGCAGTAGCTTTTAGTGGGTCTGGGCTCACTCATGGCTTCATTGACAATTTAGTTTGATTTTTTCAATACCTTTGGATGTTTCTCCTCTTGGTACTCAGCCAGTTCCTAAATGTATGTTTTATTTCTCACTTATTTTTTCTTTAAATTAAAAACAATCTTATTTTACATACCAATAGCAGTTCTCTGTCCCTCCTGTCTTCCCATTCTCCCCACCATCTCCCTATCCCATCCCCTATCCACTGCTCCCAGAGGGTGTCATTTCTCACTTCTTAGTGAGACATTAGGCTTGTATAACAAAGCTATATTTTGTATCTGAATTTTACCCTGTCGCTTCATCCAGTGAAGAGGATTTTTTTACCTGGGGAGGGGAGAGACAGACAGACAGACAGACAGACAGACAGACAGACACACACACACACACACAGAGAGAGAGAGAGAGAGAGAGAGAGAGAGAGAGAGAGAGAGAGAGAGAGAGAGACAGAGAGACAGAGAGACAGAGAGACAGAGAGACAGAGAGACAGAGATTTGTACCCATACACAGATTTCATTTTCTGAGGTATAAATCCTGAATTTGTGGGCTTCATTCTCTTGCCTATAGCTCAAGGACAGCCAGTTCTTTCCTAAACTGTTTTCCTTACAGCAATACTTTGACAAATGCAGACAGAAACAATCAACACACTATCAACACACGTTTTGCAAAATTTCCCTTTGGAGCTAAGATTTCTGTGGACAGACTCTGACAGATTTGGTGCTTTGGAAGGGTCCATGGATGTAGGATAGGTACTCACGGTCTCTGCCACTTTAGGATGAAAGGGGAGAAATTTCAAGCAAAGGATTCCCTTCATGTCTAAAACAGAGATGACAGGAGAAGTCCTGTAATAAAGAAAGAAAGAATATGAGGGACCCTCAAATGTGTCCTACCAATAATCCCCAGACCTGAAGGAGAACGCCTTAGAAGGCAAAAGGGACATCTTTCCCACCCACAACTCCTGGTTAGTATCTTTGGTGGCAGCACTTGGACATCTGTGATGGATTATGTTTGTTATGTTTTTGAGTGTCTAAGTGATGTTGGTGCCAGTATGAGGGCTGTGGAACTACTGCACACTCTCATTTATAGAGAACTGTCAGGTTAGTAACTACCAAAGACTACTAGGCACATTAGTGGTTATAACCCATCTAATCTTTGAATTCCATTGACCTCGGTGCCCAGTTTTGGCTCACCCTCTTTCTGGTCATAGTCTGGAATTTCTCTCTAATTATTCATGCCTAAAGGAGATAAGGTATCTTTGGCATAGATGAAGACAAACAAGATTTTATTTAAATCCTTAAAATGAAGAGGTAGGCTAGTGGTATATCTCACTAGGTAGGTAGAATGCTTGCCTGGCATGAGTGAAGCCTTGGGTTTGATTCCCTATCACTGCAGCAATTGTCTGTAGGGTCACACAACTGTAATTCCACACACTGGAAGAGAGGTTGGAGGATTAGAATTCAAGGTCATTCTTTGCTACATATTGAATTTTATACCAATCTGGGCTACATGACATTTGGTTGAAGAAAAAAACAGAAAGAAAAACAAGCAAGGAAACAGAAACAATCAAGTAAGAAAAAACAAGAGAAGAGAAAGGAATAAAAAAAAGAAGAGGGGGCTCTAAGTTTGTCATGTGAGCTGATCCTTTTGGCCTTGACACAGAGAGACCCCTCCTCACTTAACTGTGTATTCACTGTGATCTGCCTGACCTTGACCTGACCCACAGGGCTCGTTGAATATTATTGTGGTGTGATATGTATTCCTTCCTTTCCAACTCCACTTTCATGGCTATGAAATGACAGGAAGTTGCTAATTTGGGTGAGACTAGTCTGCCTCCTGGTGGCCGTTTTAGGATTTGAAGCACAGCTTGCTGCTGTGTTGAGATGAGGACAGGCTGGAGGCTGCAGGAGAGGGAGAACCTTGGAGCATGGTCACTGGTGCATTGGCAGCTTGCCATGAAGGTGTGGGTTCTCTCCTGACACCTTCTGTTTCTACCCATGGCTTTAGTGGAGGCTCAGCGGGAAGGTGCAGGGATCTGTCAGAATCGTACGTGGGGTGCCCCGCCTTCATTTTCCCTGCCACCTTCTGACTGGCTGGGGCAGAACTGTTTGAAGAGTTATGGTTCCCTGATGTGAAAGGGAATTTGCAAGGTCATATTGGTCTGGTATATCTATTCTCAAAGCTGGAATGTCTGTAATATTCTGGACTGGAGGGACTGGGGAACTGTGAGGAGACCAAGCAGACAGGAGTCTGGTGCAATAAGTTGTATGAAAAGCCACAGCTTTGGGAAGTGAAAGGGTATCTGGTAAAGTGATTAGGCTGATGTCAGCTGTCAGAGGCAAAACTGGACATGGTTTTGTCTGATCCCATTCTGACTGGCTTTCCCAACTAAGTTCAGCCATCTACAGCCCCTCCCTCTGCACCCATGCCCTGCTCCTTGCCACTCTGTTCATCCCCCCAATTTTGTTATGTTCCTTAAAAAACAGCATCAAAGATAGGATTTTATGTAAAAATATATTTATATGAAGATTCAATAGTCACGCATACAAAAACTCCACAGTATCATAGCATTATGATTTTATCTTAAATGCTTTGGAGCAAAATCTCTGTGCTAATTCTTGCAAAGCCCCTTCACAATACCAGAGCAAAGTAAAGGGGGAAACATTCTGCAGATAAAACAACATTAAAGTGATGGGAGGTGTCCAGGGCTTTACATTCAAATCACACCAAAGTGCACAGCAAATTAAATAAAATATTAATAACTTAGAGATAATTCCTTAAGTGTTATTGCTTCACATTCCTTCAGACAGCTTCTACCCCTTAGAGGTAGAATCAGCCTATCTTAGCACAGTTCTCAGAAAAGACAAGGGTGCAGAGTTTTTGTTTCTTGTCTCCTGGGTTGGTTCCTGTTCAGGTACGAGTCTTCAAGGCTTTGGAGTTTGGGTTTTCCTGTCCAAGTACTCCATGGCATCCTGGACCCACGGCTCATCGGCTTTAGTACAGAGTTCTATACCCTTCTTGGTCTTGAAGCTGTGGGGAGAGTGCTCTGTTAGAGAGTATGTGACTTATTCTGTGAGTACCTGCCTGGTGCATTACCCCAAATTGATGACATTACCCCGGGGAAGGAGGAGGGAGAAGGTAAGACAGAGGAAGGGCCTAATGGAAAGATGCATTCTTTACTGGCCAAAGGTAAGCCCCTCCTGCCTGCCCTGGCTCCTGGATGGAGAGAGAAGTCCTGAACGGGTGGCTCTGAAGTGTTGAGTTTCAGTTTTCCCATTGAAGACTATCTGAGTTTGCGTTAGAGTCTTTGTGCCTTGAGTGTGTGGTCCTATCCACTGCCTCTGGGAGTGACTTAGCACTGGGGGAACAAAGGCAGGTGGTGTGTACTCACATCACAGCTTCCCAGGGACAGTGACTACTGGTGATCTTTTTGTAGCTCTCAAGATACTTCTTGGGGATCTTTGGTTTCTTGACATAGCAGCATGTGGATGAATTGATCCCATCTACAATGAAAGAACAAGAAAGGGTTCTTTGTGGTGGATTTTGAGTCTCACATTTATGATTCACAGGTGATAGGAGGCAATCAAGGAGGTAAGAAAAGACAAAAGGAGAAGTTGCCCAACCCTTGCTTATCATGTCTCTCTTTAATATGTCCCTCAATTCTTTCTTACTTATATGGGTTATATGCCAGTCAGTAGGGTCAAGAAGAGTTGATAACAATTCTGGGCGACACTAGAAAGTGTTAGTATAATTACCCAGTTTCTTTGAGTAAGAAGACCATAACAGCTTATGGTTTATGTTATGAGTGCCCCCTTTTGGATCAGAAAACTTTGTGTCTAGTTGTGAGCATCTTGTAGACACAGCCTCTACAGAACCCCTGTCACTGGAAGCTTGACAGGCTGAAGCACAGAGGCTCTTCCCTTCCATCTACTACCTGAGAACACACCCCCACCCAGACCCCCTCACTGAAGAGGCAGCTGATGCAGGAACTATCTTGTTTGCACAAATGAGTCCTGGAGGGATCAGATTCAAGTCCTGTCTCTGGCTCTGGGCTGGCCTTGTGTCCTTTTTATTGCCTTCCAATGGCAAAGCTGGTAAGATGAGACTATAGGTAGCCCTCATTCTGTAATGATCCATCAAAAGCTCCAGGGGAAAAGGAGGCAAGACCATTCTTACCTGGCTGGGCCTGTGTGTGAATGATGAAGGCAGCAGCTGTGAGCAGCAGGCACAAAAGCATGACAGAGACCTTCATGGTGGAGAAAGGAGAGCTGGCTTCAGTGAGAGCTGGCAGATTCTGAACTGGCCTGGCCTCTGCTCTTCTGGCAGCTCTACCTCCTCTTTTATAGGCAGCGAATAGAGAGGGAACTTCATTTGGAATGAATCACAGGGGTGTGTGATTTGAGGCTGTCGTATTTCCATGTAACACCAGGAATGGAATGGGAAATGAGGTAGTGGCTCTGTCCACATAGAATGCCAAATTGTGAATTCTGGATATTCTTATCAGCTCAGATCCCAGGAAAGTAAATACTTTCTGTAGAATGAGGAAGGAAACACAGATGGCAAAATGAAAAGTCAAGGGATTCTCATTTCTTCCTTTAAGCCGCATTCTTAGGATTCCCAAGTGCAGAAACAGGCACTAAAACTTTGGCTGGATTTAAAAAATGCACTCAAAGAATGACAGTTTGGGTAGCTTTTCAAATCTCTAAAGGTAGAGTAATAAAATGTTAGCCAGAAAAGAAAAGAAAAGAAAAGAAAGGAAGGAAATGCTTGTGTCTAATATAATTTTCGATTATATTTGGATTTCAAATAGGAAGGTTGGCAGGTCTCAGCTAGGCAGTACTTCCTTAGGATCTTCCACATCTTTGTAGGTAGATGATGAGGGTCATTCCAAAACCTTCACTCCAAGTTTGGTAGCTGAAAAACTTAAATAGCTGTATGTTGGACCAGATATTATTCATTGGTTGCTTCCTCTCCCTTGTTTTCTGCATCCCACTGTGAAGACCATATATTTTACATGATGCCTGAAAGTCTCCAAGAGCATAAATGACACCTCTTAGAAAGAGACTGTAAAGGAGCCTACAGACATGTTTTTAAAAAAATCACTCTAGAGAACCAAGTCTGTAAGTCAAAAGCAGAGAGAGCATTTAGGAAGGGTAAGGACTGAAGTTCTATCCCCAGGAATGCTATCTGAAGGAGTTATAGAATGACACAGCACATGGGGCTCTTGGAATCTTGTGATTTTCAAAATATATGATTAGCTATGAAAATATATTTTCTAAGTAAAAGAACATAGGGAAGTCAAGCTTCCCTATGTAGTGTAGTGGCATATATCATTAATCTCATCCCTCAGCATGTGAGAGGCTGAGGCAGGAGGATTGTGAGTTTGGGGTCAATATACACTACATATTAATTCATCATGTCAAAAAGTCCAGAGCCTAGGGATGTAGAACATGCTAGGCATGAGCACTTGCCCTGGTTCATAGCAAAGACACAAAACCTAAACAGTAATCCAGCAGCAATGTGAAAATCCAACCTTTGGCTTGAGAGAATACATTCACCAATCATACCACAGACAGACAACTGATTGGTAGTTATCATCCAGCTAATACAAAGAACCCACAACTCAGCATCTAACCAAAACAAAGCAAAAAACAAACTGCATTGAAAAGGGGAAAAGAGTATCAATGGGTGTTCCTTAACTATCAATGGATGATAGACAACAAGCATAGAAAAGGACATTTCACATTGCTAGTCATTGGAAGCTTGTGTGAGACCCTGAGTTCAGTGTTAAGTCCCTATATGTAAACAAATAAGAATGAAAAGGAAAATCCAAATCAAAGCCATCATGAGCTATCACTTCACCCGTTATAGTATTACATCAAAATAAGGATTGGTGTTAGAAGCTCAGTGGTAGAGTATTGGTTTAGCATCTACAAGACTCTAGTACTCAGTGCTGTAACAAAGGAAGGAAGTGGGGAGTTGTTTAGTGAGTATATAGTTTGGGTTTTACAAGGTGAAAATGGCCTAGAGATCTGTTGTTGAATGATGTTAACTATGTGAACATTAATTCCATAAACTAAACTTAAAGATGGAAAATTCAGTGAATTTTGTGCTTTGTCTTTTTGCCACTGTTTTAAAAGTTAAGTGGGAGAATGAGGTCTTTAAAAAGTGAATTTTATAATTTCCAGTACAAACTGATGATTGTTCTTTAAGTAATGACTCATTGATCTCTTCCTGACTCACTTGTATGCCCTGGGGACTAGGAATAAGAAATATTAGATGCTTACTGGGAAAGCAAAACTGGAAGAAACCCAAGCAGTGAGGCTGGGGAGAGGGCTCAGTTGGTAAAGAGCATGCCATGCAAGCAGGAGAACCTGAGTTTGAGCTGCAGAACCCACCTAAAAGTTGAGCAAAGAGGCACACACCTGAAATCCCAGTTTGAAGGGCAGAGTTAGACATAGGAAGACCTCAAGAGCCCTCTGGCCAGCCAGCATGACCTGATGAGTGAATGAGGGATCAGTGAGAGACCCTGTTTTAAAAAAATAAATGTAGATAGTCCTTGAAACAATGACTGGACCTTTGGCCTCCACACAGATGTGCTCATGAAACCCAGCAAGAGAGACCATGTCCAACAGTTCTTTTTTTTTTTTTTCAGCAAGAGAGACCATGTCTAACAGTTCTGTACTTCTAGATAGGTACAGGAAAGATGTTCCTTTGGTCTTGTACTCAAGACTAGCATCTTTGATAGCTTCAAGACCCATCATCTATGGGCTTCTGGCTTGTCCCTTTGCACCCACTGACCACAACGGAGGTGAGGCCACACATGCCTTTCTTTAGTAGCCATCACTGCTGTTTGCTGACTCACAGAAGGCTGAAGCTGATTTACGGCTGGTACAGACTCTGGGCTTCTGATTATCTTGGCCACATGATTCATTCATTCATTCAGAGAAAAAAAAAAACCTTGCTGTTCTGAGCTACTGGTATAGACATGTCACATGTCTTCCTCTGCCCTCACTCTGTGCCTTCCTGGCTGCTTTCCTTGCTCCACCCACACCTGATCACTTTTAAGTCAAAGCTTCCAGGCTTGAATGAGAATCCCACATTTCTAACCATCTCCTTTCTTTAAACCACTTTATCTAAAGACTTTATTGTTCAAAACCTTTTAAAAATTTCATTCCCATGCATTCATACCCAAATGTTTTTCAATAAAACTGAGGAAGCCATGCTCTCAAGAAAAGCCTTCGACAAATTGTGCTGGGAAAACCAGAAATTCACATTTAAAAGAATAAAAGGAAACTACAGCTCTCATGGTACATGAAAATCAACTCAAATGGTTAAAGATGTAAAATGTGAGACCTGAAGCATGAAGGGACTAGAAGGAATCATATAGGAGATGCTTTATGACGTGGGACTAGGCAGAGTTTATGGATAAGACCTCAAGGCATAGAAAATAGAGGCAATAGCTAGCCAACCATGTTTTTATCAAACTTAAGGGTTAGGAAAAAGAAGCAATCATCTGCCAAGTTAACAAATTAACTCAGAATGAGAGCAGATATAGGAGACACCATCTCATCTCCCTACCATCACCACATGCATAAATAGTATATCTCAAAAGCCATTTCCCAAGTAAAAACACAGATAAATAAAAGAATCCTCAACTTTATTGATCATGAAGTGTGATAGTTAGCATCATCACCCCCAAAAGAATCCAGAACTACCTGGGAGGAGGGCCTCTGGGTGTGCCTGTGGGAATTATCTTGACTGTGCTAGGCTAATTGAAATGGGAAGACTTGCCCACTCTGAGCGGCACCATCCCCTAGCTAGGGCTTTGGATTGCATAGTGGAGAAAGAGAGCTGAGCAACAGCCTTCGTCCCTCTCTGCTCTCCTGTTTGGGACATGACCAGCTGCTTCAGGTTGCCTTGGCTTCCCTGCCATGATGGAACCAAGAAGAAGCCCTTTCTGCCTCAAGTTGCTTTGTCAGAGTATTTCCTTTCACAGAAACACGAAAAGAAATGAGGACATCAGGGAAATGCAAATAAAAACCACAGTGAGACACCACTTCCCTCAAGTCAGAAGGGCTATTGCCAAAAAGTCAAAAATAAATAATGCTAGCAAGGATGTGGAGAAAAGGGGCCCCTTAAAATTGTTAGTAGCAACGTAAATTAGTGTAGCCACTGTCAGGAATGGTGTACTAGTTTGACAAAATATTAAAAGCTAGAATTAGCATATGTTCTAGCAAACCCACTCCTGGGTATGTAGCCAAAGGAATAGGAACCAGTATGTCAAGAGACATTGGCGCTCCATGCTTATCACAGCACTGTCCACAACAGCTAAGAAATGGAAACAGCTAGCTTAGTGTTAGTTGATAAGTGGATGAAGATGATTTGGTAACAGCATAGAGTGGAATAATAGCCACCAAAGGATGGGGCCCTGTCACTTTTGCCAAAATGGCTGAAACAGGATGTTATCATGTTACATGAAATAAGCTAGACACAGGAAAACCTGGCTCATGTGATCTTCCTCATGTGAGAGCCATGAAAGTTGACCTCATGAAAGCTGAGAGTAGAATGACAGTTAGTAAAGACTGGGTGGGGCTGGGGGATGGGAGGGCAGAATAAAGTCAACCAGCAGATATCAAGTTACAGATAGATTGGAGAAAGGAGTTATAATGGTTGTATTATATAATTTGTAATCAATTAATTATGTGCATATTTAAAAGGCAAGAAGAAAGGATTCTGAGTGTTTCCAATTTGAAGATGATAATTGTTTCAGTGTGTGTGTGTTTGTATTTACATTTACTCTTATTTGAACATTATGGAATTTATACATGTACCAAAATATTGCACAAGAGGCTGCAGTGAGGGTTCAGTGGGTAAAAGTATTTGTTTTATATATTGGAAAGCCTGAGGGTCTATCCTCAGAACCATATAAAAAGTAAGATATGCTGGCATTTGTTTAAATCTGGTGAGATGGAAAGTGGAGATGGGAGAATCACATAGAAGCTCATAAGTATGCTATCCTAGAGTATACCCTACAGTGGCAGGAGCAAGACAGATGTTTCCTCAACAAGGTAACAGGAGAGAAC